ACCTCGGCCGGGCCATTACTTAACATAATGTAATGGCGGTTATTTACAAAAGAAAATGTTCGTTGAAGCAAAAGTACAAAATATCCTTGTAATGAAAGCTTTGTCATGAATATTACTCCTATAAAAAGAATGCTTACCTATAATCATGAATGAATAACGCGAGATTTTTGAATAAATTAAACGAATGCGAGCACTTTTTTACGTGTTTTTTGTGAAAGGAAATAGAAGTGAATTGGGTTTACAGCACTTTGCTGTAGACAGAATGCAAGGGTATGAAAACCTATGTACCCATACAATCTTGGCACTAGAATAGTACAGTTGGATGTTTTTAAATCTATATTTTTGAGCTGTAAAGGTATGATGCATACCACAATGTACCAGTATTCTTACTTCTTACTAATATTATATTATAAATACCAATGTTTGACAATGTATCTCCAGAACGGCTGCATAAATTTCGCTGAAATTTGGCAAAGATGTAGAACATAGTCTGGAAGAACACATATGCTACTAATTAAGTTGTTTTTAATTCCGCGACAAATATGTTTTAAATTTAGGGTTTCACACCTATGTCTTTACTACATACGTTTAAATTAAAATAGTTCTTATTTAAACACATATAACATTAATTTTGAAATTTAAATTCAACAACGAACATCACAAACTAAAATAGATTCTATTAAATAATTTTAAGAGTTTATTTTACTTTGATACTGTTGAAATTTCTGAGGGCCCGGTCGTAATTCAAGTAAGCAAGTTTAGATAAGGCCCGCTGCCGTCTGCTAAGTCCGAACACCCGTATTTTCTATGGATTATCTAGTATCAGCTTTGCCACACCATTTCTAGAATAAAAGCTATTTATTTCGTAAGTATATGGGTGGGTTGCTATAGTATGCATCACATTTCAAACGTGAATCATTAGTTCACCATATTTTCTCGTACATTTAATCTACAAAGTTGTTTTTTTAATAAATAAGTATACTGGTACACACCTACCTACTGTTAGGAAGAAAATTCGACACTGTGTCGGAATACTGGCGCAACACTACTTACTAAAATATCGTCGTTTTTATCCCATCACTCATCATTCTGAAACTTGACTTAATAACAAAAGCGCGTCATTCGCGCCATAGGATTCTAATTAATAACATCTAAAACGACATACTCAATAGACTAACAAAGTATAGAATAATTAAAATATGATAAGTATTTTATTAATTAAAAATATACCAAATTTCATCGACAACGTTTGAGCCGTTCTAGAGATAACTTCAAACAAACATCTATCCAATCATTCATCCAAACAATCGCATTTATAATATTAAAAATAATTAATATCTAATTTTAGTAAATATTTAAAAGTAAATAAAATGAATCTTGTTGGTAAATAATTAGAGTACATTTTACATAAACGACAGATACTAAACTTTCGATCGTAATTCAAGTTTCAAGTTAAGATAAGGATACTAACCGTTTGGTAGCACTCAACGCCCCGACTCCTAGTAGATTATCTTTTGTCAGACATACTTGTTTATATTCTTTATTCACGGGTATAAATCCTTCCGGGGATTAGGTCAGCGGAGGAACTGGTTCGCCTAGCACTTGACAGAACTAAAGTTAGTGGCCAACCTTCACTAGAAAAAGGCACTAGAAGAAGATAAATCCTTTAACGTATAAGTTAATACGCGTATACCCTTATAATTAAATATACGGACATCATAAGTTTGAATACTGCCATTCGACTGTTGTCGTCGACCATAACCTACCACAAGTCTAGAACTAACATGTTTATAAATGTAATCCTACTAATACTATAAATGCGAATGTTGGGACGAATGTATTGATGTATATTAAAAGATATATCTAGAACTGCTGTATGGGTCTCGCTGAAATTTGGCATAAATGTAGAACACAGTCTCAAAAGAACATATAGGCTACATAGGCTAGGAACATGGACACATTTAATTGAGCGCCGACGAAATCGGGGACGACAGCTAGTTATTAAAGAAATAAAACAATTCGATAGTCTAAGTATATTATAGCAATCAGCAAAATGAAGCGTTGGTGGCTCAGTGGTCAAGCACTTGACTTGCAATCTGCAGGTCCTGGGTTCGAATCCCGCCTTGTACCAATGTGTTTTTTGATTTCCGATTAACCTATGTACATTTATCCGACGTTCTTACGTTGAAGGAAAATATCGTGATGCAACCTGCACATATCTGAGAAGAAATTCAAAGATATGTGTGTAGTCAACCAACCAGCACTTGGCCAGCGTGTTTGACTATGGCCTAGTCACCCTTAACTTAGGGTAGGCTCTGAGACCCTCGGTGGGGACGTATAGCTGATGATGAATGAGAAAAAAGTAAAAGGATAGCAGAGAACCGAGTTGACGTTAAATTATTTTGGAAAATAATTTTATAAATAAAGTATATTGTTAAGCGGCTTACATCTTTTTCGTAAGCCCATAAACCTTTTTTAACGAAGCTTTGTTATAAATATAAAGTTAACGAATAAATATTCCACCTATAATTATTTTTTATCGAAAATATTTCTTTAATATAATAATATATTTAATCTGAATGTCATAACAGGATTCATGGAAATAAACAAAAACATATAATTTACACGAATACTTGGTAAAATCCCATCGTATTAAACTAAGCAAACCCAGTTATTATAAACATTTCTGCACTATTGTATTTTACATATATTTTCCTTATTCATTTGTAAATAATTGCTTGTTTATAGTTAATATTAACATGAGATCACATCTAAATTATCTTGTACTAATGCTTACTTCTTGTCTATTATATCTGTACTCGTATGTATAGCTAAAATACTGGATACCATTTCTGTTCAATGTTCAATAAAGTACATATTAATATTATAAACTTTACATGAAAAATCTTAAATCTATGATATTAAATATAATATTAAAAACGAATAATTTACTAAAATATATTATTAAAAGGAGTCCCTTTAGGAATTCTCTATATGTATTATCTCGGCTTATCTGTACTTCTTACTAATATTATAAATCCTAATGTTTGTATGAATGGTTATTTCTTTGAATGTATCTCCAGAACAGCCACATGAGTCTCGGTGAAATTTGGCATAGATGCAGAACATAGTCTGGAAGAACACATATCCTTAATCAAGTTTTTTTTTTAATCACACGCGGACGCAGTCGCGGGTGACAGTTAGTTATATTATAAATGCAAAAGTAACTGATAGTGTAGAGCATGAAGAAGGACATTGGCTACCTTTTAACGTGAAAGAAGGATTGGGGTTTCATAGTTTTGCGACAAGAGACGAAATATTTACAGAGTTATTACAAAATGTTATTTGAATACTATTTTACACGGATGAAGTCGTGGACACAGCTGGTGTCAATTATGTTCTATATATAAACTCACTTGATGATTTTTATAATCATTCTGTGAACAGCAACGACATAAGTCAGTCACGATGAATTCTTACGGTTTGTTTGCGTTTGTCCTCATAGCAATAGTGGGAATGATTATTGCATCACCAGTCGATGAAAATAAGCCATTTGGTAAGTTTTTTTGTCACTATCGTACACTGAATGGTTTTTATATGAGCACATATACTTGTAAAGATTTAAAACGTAAAGCAAGGTGACCTTGCTCCGAACAAAAATGTATTCATCGTTTAAAATTTTATCTTCATTACATACAATGCCTTTGTATTAAGATTTGATTTAAATCTGTTTGTCATGTTTTCTTCAGCTCATTCCTCTTTGAGGGGGTCGTGTCTTTTCTATGTTTGATATAACGGTATTATATTTTGACATATTGAACACAATTCTTATTTATAAACTAACTGTTGCTCGCGACTTTGTTAGTGTGGAATGAAAAAGATTATGTTACCGTCGCATAGATCAGCAACCTTACATAAAATGGCCTGTCAAAAGGGGTACAACAGTCACGCAGATTACCGGGAACAAATGGGGACTTGGGGACAGTCAGACTAAACATTTTTAAATTAGGTTTACGTCATAAGTAATACTATTGGATAAGGTGCTTAATATTTGTACAGATTTAGACACTCTAGTTTAATTAACTTAAATTGCGTACTATTAAAATATTAAAATATATTGTTTATTATTCGCAGATTGCCCACCAAATGAACGGTACTATAAATGTTCTTTGGAGGTTTGCTACAAGAAATGTGAGAATTTGGTCAACCCACCTCCTTGTCCTTCAATAGCTGCCAATTGTTATCAACCATCTTGTGAATGCGTAGACGGATATTTAAGAGATTCCACTGGGACTTGTGTTACTGTTGAAGAATGTAACAGACAGATTTCGTCCGCAAATCATTAACTTTTTAATTTTATAAAATGATAATGAAACAAAAACAACATTCACCGATCAAATGTAAAAAAGATATTGTAATAAACGAATTCGTATTTGAAAAGTAATCAAAAAGTTTTTCTTTTTTTAATTTTCGAGGTTGCCCTAGAGATGAGGTTAAATTACCTTGTACCTTAGAGTAACATTTTTTTATACTAAAGAATTATATTAAACGTCAACTTATCAATTACTTTTATATATTTAAGTATATTTTCACCTAATGTGCCAACCACCTGTGAAAACCACATGCCATGTATGGACTAGTAAGACATGAGATGTAGCTCAACACATAACAAGAACATCAAAAACCAAATATAGTAAAAAATAAATGAAAAGAAAATACACATTTAAAAAAAGCTAGATTTTTACTTTTGAAAAAATGTGCTTTGCATCCACACTGCCTAAAATTATCTTAGTTATAAGCGGAAAACCGGAAAATAATCTACATTACGGGGTGAAATATTGATGAAGCAATCGCTATTGCTTGGACGCGGCCACAGACTGCTTATGAATATAGCATGCCTCGCTAAGCCTAGATACGCATTTGAATAAATGAAAACACCAGAGAATCCGGTAAAAATCTTAAAAAAAATACAAAGCAAAATGTTGAATAAAATTCCGATATAATAGTCAGATATATATTTTTTGTTAAGTATAACATGATTATAAATTTTGTATTTTTTATATATGTAAGTACTATACTTCAGCAGTTACTTGCGTCATCACCGGGGATTGCTTACTTTTCTGCTGTAAATAGAAAATAATTTAAAAATTAAAAAGAAAAGTTAATAAGATATGAAAAGAGTAAAAACTAGATAAAATCAAAATATACATATAAGAGCCTAAGCGAAAGTTACAAGTGTTTATAGGTCAGTTATTTTATTAAAATCCATAAAAGGTTTAAAGGTTTTTTATAGTCAGTACGAGTATACTTTACAAGTAAGTTAGTACCTGGCCACATCGAGTAGATTTCTTCTTTGCTGTAAAAATACAAATAGCCTAAATAGTAAATGTTCGTCTGTCTAAAACTAACATACTTGTGGCTTAAAGAGTTAAAAGATTAGAGATGATTTGTGTTCATTTAATGGACAGGAGAGAGGATGTACAGTCAGCTGCATAAATATGTATACATAAATTTTTGCGCGAGATTTCGAATAAAAAAAAACTTTTTTGCCTATTGTTACTGCAGACTGTGATCTGTACCTTTTATCCAGATCCATTAATCAATTTTAGAGATATCCATTCATTTAACTATCGCATTTATTTAAAGTAAGTTATTAAATGCTTCAAAAGGTTTTGTACCCTGTTTTTTGAAAATACATGTGTAAATACATTTACCTATCCGTTTGTATCCTTCTGACAATGAATTTATGCTGTTGACGAATACGTACATATGTATTTCTTGACCCGAGTGCCAATTAACAAGTATACATTTGGAAATCTTTAAAGTTTTGTAATTATTCCATGTTTATGTAGCTGACTGTACAGAAAACAGATTGTATTTTCCAATATATATCTTAAAATACACTTATCACTTACAATGAATTCAATTATACTTACGGCATTTGCTAACTGGCACGCAAATGTTGTCCTTATTCCTGAATGTATTTGCCTTGCACACACACTTTGGTTGGCAGTTCAAAACAAATGTGTTACACGGTACCGGATCCTTACCAGCGTCTTCACATCTTTCTTGAAGACAATCGGACGGGCAGGAGTCAAAAACTTCGTTAGGTCGTGTACAATTTACAGGAGCTAGAAGTTCAGGAGTTTTTTTTAAGTAAAATAACAGTACTTTTAATCAGTAAACTAAATTAATCGTTTGATTATTAACTAATTGATAGATTACGTCATTAATACTTTAGATTTCAAAATAAAATCACATTTGAAGTCACCATGACATTAAGTTATCATCTTACTCTATGTGAAGGTGCCACTAATATGTAAAATTATTACAGAGGAGAAGATGTACAGTAAAAGGACATTTACCATAAAACTCCCTACACCGCCAAATCTGGTCCTTTTTGGTATACTAGTGTAGAAATGAGATGAGGACTAAATTTAAGAAGTAAAAGCGTGTTACTTACGACACTCAGATGCAAGAATACATTGTCTGTCGTCAATACTTTTCCTTCTATAGTTAAGGTTGCAAACACATCCCGACGGACAACGATATGGCAGCGCGCAGTTATAGTTAGGCGGAGAATCATCCTTAGGGCAGTAATTGTAGGAACATCTGTTGCTGCAGCTAGAAAATGTCGCATTCTTCCCACACGGGTTACCACCTGCAATGAAAGTATTTGTGAAATAAAGACACATAGAAGTGAAAAATTTAATATGTTTAAACAGAAACTGTACCAAAAAATGTAATCGAAGCTAAAGGAAACTAATCTTAGAAACACTTTCAAATAACGGTTTACTTATGACATTAAACATTCATTAAATAATCTTACTAATATTATAAAAGCGATTGAGATGAATGGATACCCATCCATGATGGTTTGTTTGAAGGTATCTTCGGAACGGCTTAACAGATTTTGATGAAATTTTTAACGGGTATAGAACATAGTAAAGAAGAACACATAGGCTGTTCATTAAGTTTTTTTTTAATTCAGCGCGGACGGAGTCACAGGCGACAGCTAGCAAGTGCATATTTGCAAATGTAAAACAAACCTTTGCACTTCTCCGGTGGTATACAAATACCATTTAACTTTGATAAGATGAATCCCTCTTTGCATTTACATCCAACGTCCAGACAAGATTTTTTACAGAGGATTTCATTAGGAGCTGAACACGTGGATGGACATGGCGATGGGCACTGAGACACCACAGCATTAGCGTCGCCATTGCAACTCAAATCCGCTAAAATGTGAGTAACTCAGCAATTAAATAATTCTCATGTTACGAACAGTTATAAAGATGTCAAAAAGTATTCAACAACCAGTATCCCAGAACCAAAATGCTAAAAATCAATTGGTTAATTTCACTCAATCATAGTCCTGTTGCGTCATAGTAATAGTTACAAATTTAGTTGTTTTCACGTAAATAAATATTACTTACATGGACAATTTTGGATTTTAACACATTTACCGCTTTTGTCTAACAGGATATACCCCGGCTTACATTTACAACCGTTTTGGTTTTCGGACACTTCTTCATAAGAACAATTCTTTGGATTAGGTTCGGCGCAAGTACGTCTACATTCAGTTGGAACATCGCAAGTCTTTAAACCTGCAGATAATCATTATAAAAATTAAATTAATGAAGTTTTTCAAATTACCAATTTCATTATTTAAGTCGTATTTAAGTACATCTCTAAAATTTCTAAATTGTTTTAAAGTGGAATGATTATCGTAATATACCTCGGGACTACGACCAGTCTGAAAATATTGATTAGTTTTGAGAATTTTATGATCTTACTGTTATTACATACCTCACATTTCGACATATTGAACTCATTGTAATTGAAAAATAGTAGGCACTCACTACAAACTGGTCTATCAGGAACACATTTCCCATTTGAATCTCTTGAATAATTTTCTTTGCAATTACAAGTTGGTTTGCAAACGCTCACTTCAGTACTGTAGTCATCATCAAAATTACAAGTTTCAACTTCATTTTCACCACATACGACTGGTGGAGCGGCTGAAAATTAAACAAATACTTCATTGTTAACCCTTTTTAAGTCTTTATAACCTATATTTAGTGTATATATTGCCTTATATAATATTTGTAAATATGTAGAAGTAAGAAATAAACTCGGTTGGTTTTTAATGGGAATCTCTGTGGTGTTTCATGCCAGTGCATCCATTATTAAGAAGACTATTATTATAAAAGATGAGTTACTTACGGCATTGGTCCACTGGTACACAAACATTATTTTTATCTCTGTAAGTCTTAGGCTTACAGACACATCTAGGTTGACAGTTTAATATAAGTGTGTTGCAAACTGGCGGTTTTTTGCCTGCATTTTCACAACCTTCGTTTAGACATGCTGATGGACAAGAGTCCCAAACTTCGTTAGGTCTTGTACAGTTAACTGGAGCTAGGTAAAGAAGTGGAATATATGTTACTATAATGAATATATTTTTTCAGTTTTTTACTATACGATTATAACGTGTTACATTTATAAAGAACGGATTTACTTACGACAGTCTGATGCCAAGATACACTGTTCGTCGCTAACGCTCTTCTTCCTGTGATTGAACCTGCAAATACAACCAGAACGGCAAGGATTCGGCGCCGTACAATTGTAATCCGGTGGCGAATCGTCTATCGGACAATAGTTGTAAGGACATTTGTTGTTGCAACTAGTAAATGCTCCATTTTTACACGGATTACCACCTGTAAGAAAAGCGTCGTGCAAAAATAATATTAAAAAAAAACTACTGAAAAAACTCGAATACGTTCGAAATTTACGACTATGATGTATAATACAAAGAAATATATTTTCTACTAAGATATAGAAGTAGTAAAAAGTTCGTTAAATTTACCTCTCGCAAACACATTATTTAATATATTAGAAAACGCCATAGTGAAATAAAAAATAACTAACCTGTGCAATTATCCGGTTTGATGCAAATTCCATTTAATTTAGACAAAATAAATCCGTCTTTACATTTACAGCCTACGGGTAAACAACTCTTTTTACATGGCACTTCATTTGGAGATTCACACGTAGACGGGCATGGAGGAGGGCATTTGGTTATAAAAGCGTTATTATCTCCATTGCATCCAGATTCAGCTGAAATTAATAAAAAAACGAAATTAACAACCTCTTATACTGCTCACGAAGCATCAAAATACACAGCTTTTTTCGAAGACACATCTAACGAATTTGATAAAATGAATTTTTTTTCAAATAAAAATGATAAAGTAGACGTTCATAGAAACAACAGTAGAAAAGAAAATACTTAACAAAGAGTGTGGTAAACTTGTTGGTTATGGTAACACGGTATGGGATTACGGTTTGGTTTGTATTTTCCTGTGTAACTTACCAGGGCATTCCTCGATTCTTATGCATTCACCATTTTTGTCCGATAAAACAAATCCTGGTTTACACTTGCAGCCTTCCACATTCTTTGTAGCGGATTGATACGGACAGTTCTTAGGATTTGGTTCCGCGCAAGTGGCTTTACATTCATCAGGAATGTCACATGTATTTGATGGGACTGTAGAAAGAAAACGTCTTAAAATAAATAAGATCTTACAAAAGGGCGTGCGTAAGGCTATCACTAATAACAACTCCAGAAATATAAAAAAAAACCATACTCACAACATTCCGAAGCGGGTACACAAATTCTTGACGCATTCCGATAGAAACCTTCTTTGCAAGCACAACGCGGTTGACAATTCGTCCGCGATGGCTTACACGCTGTGTTTGTTATTTTTAGGTCTTCGCAATTCTCTTTCAAACACGATGTTGGACAAGTGTTCCATTCTTCATTAGGTCGTGTACATTTTACTGGTGCTAATAAAATAAGAAAAAATTGTGATACAGACATATTAAGCTATTTTCTCTTAAACAGCATGAGATATTTAGGTCTTTTTCCATGTGGTTTATTGTTTTTTTCATAGAAAAATGTAGGAGTAGGGAGCGTCGGTGGCTCAGTGGTCAAGCAATTTGCAATCTTCCGGTTCGAATCCCGCGTACATTAATTCGACGTTCTTACGGTGAAGGAAAACATCGTGATGCAACCTGCACATATCAGAGAAGAAATTCAAAGATATGCATGAAGTCAACCAACACGAACTTGGCCAGCGTGGTTGACTATGGCCTAATTACCCTTAACTTAGGGTAGGCTCCGAGCACCTCGGTGAGGACATATAGTGATGATGATGAGAAAAATGTAGCAAATTAAAAAGCGTAAAATAAATATTGCTATTCCTAGATAGACAAGTAGATATAATCTATTATATAAAAAAGCGTTCCCGTACATCATATGCACTTAAAAATTATGTGTCCAACTTAACTAAGACCATTTTACACTTATAATTTCTATTACTCTTCATTGTATTAATTTATGTTGTTTAGTGGCTAGTGGTAGTTACCATGTGAGTTTTATATCAACCATAAAATAATAAGAAATTATAAAATCAAACTTACGACACTCTTCAGCCAGAATGCACCGGGGATCTTTCATACTCTTTCTCTTATAATTCAGCTTGCATGAACATCCTGAGGGGCAGGGTCGCGGAGGGTCACAGATAAGTATTCCCTGTCTGTCGTCCACGGGACAATAACTATTTGGACATCTTATATTACATGCTACAAACGTTTCGTTCTGCGAACACGGGCTACCTCCTAAAGCAAAATTCATTATACAAAACTTGGCTATCCAGGTTTAAGGTAATGAAATATTTTTTTGTAGCACAACAATCAAAAAATTATAAATATTAACAAATTTTTGACTAATTATTTAACTACTTTGAAAAGTATAATACGTTAATTCATCAAACTACTTTATTTCGAAAATGACGATGTAATACATTTAAACTACGATTAAAGCTTGTAGTACTTATCGGTATTAAAAAAATAAATAAAATAAACGTACCTGGACAGTCTACCGGTAAAATACATTCTCCCTTTGGTTTCGAGAGGATATATGAAGAATTACATTGGCAGCTGTTAGGATTACATTGTGCTGTACAGGATTGTGGATTCAGTGTCTGGCAAGTGGAAGGGCACGACGAAGCACAAGCAACTATTGTTGCATTGCCTCCACATTTAGGTGCTGTAAATAATATTTTGCCTCAAAAATATTGAAATTTGAATCAATACCGCTTTATTTTCGACTAAAACTAAATTTATAAATTATGACAAGATTTACGTATTTTTAAATTACGTACCTGGACAATCTTGCGGCAAAATACAGTCTCCGTTTGGTGACAAAACATAAGAGGGCTTACATTGACAAGTTACGTTAGGCTTACACCCAAATATACAGACTTCCGGCTTTGGGTTCTCACAAGTGAGAGGACATGACGAAGCGCAGTCTGTGTATGTCGCATTGCCGCCACAAGGAGTTGGTACTGTGAAAATCATATTGCGTTAATTTTGATAGACAATATTTGTAAATAATTGGTTTTTTTTAAAACATTTTTAAACAGTAACGGTTTATTTTACTTACTTTTTGGACATTGATCTTTCGGTATACATTTCCCATTTGAATCTCGAGCGTAACCTTCTTTACAGTTACAACCGGGACGACAAGGGCCAGGCCTACATATACCTTGTTGCTTTCCACTGTCACATAAATCAGATGGACATCTAGTCTTACAAACAGTTGAAACTTCATTCTTGCCACATTCAGGTGGTGGTATAGCTAAAAATAAAAGTAAATGGTTCTCATCTAAATGTTCAATTTTTAAATTATAACGTCGACCCATTATCCTACACAACAAGGTTTCTCATCAAAAGCTGAGGAAAATGTAATAAAAATACCTGGACAGTCTTCCGGCAAAATGCAGTCTCCGTTTGGTGACAAGACATAAGAGGGCTTACATTGACAGGTAACATTAGGTTTACACAAAAATATACAGACTTCCGGCTTTAAATTCTCACAAGTGAGAGGACATGACGAAGCGCAGTCTGTGTATGTCGCATTGCCGCCGCAAGGACTTGGTGCTGTAAAAATTATTCAATTTGTAATTCTTTCTGTGAGTCTACGCAATGCGCTTAAACGCTAATATACTTACTTTTTGGACATTGGTCTTTTGGGATACATTTCCCATTTGAGTCTCGGGCGTAACCTTCTTTACAGTTGCAACCGGGACGACAAGGGCCCGGCCTACATAAACTTTGTTGCTCTTTACTGTCACATGAATCAGATGGACATGTCGTCTTACAATTTGTTGAAACTTCATTTTCACCACAAACAGGTGGTGGGGCTAAAAATAAAATTTAACGATATTTCTTAAAAAATTAAAGTGATAGTTTTAAAAACATTCCATTCTTCAAAAAAGCTAAATGTTAAAGCCGTTATCGAGGAAAATATTTTTGAAAAATACCTGGACAGTCTTGCGGCAAAACACAGTCTCCGTTTGGTGACAACACATAAGAGGGCTTACATTTACACTTTACGTTAGGTTTACACACCGCTGGACACAACTTTGGTTTAGGTGTCTGACAAGTGGGAGGACATGACGAAGCGCAGTCTGTGTATGTGGCATTGCTGCCACAAGGACTTGGTGCTGTAAAAATGATACAATGTTTATGTAGGTCTACGTAATGTACTCAGACTATAATGACTTAATATACTTACTTTTTGGACATTGATCTTTCGGAATACATTTCCCGTTTGAATCTCGAGCGTATCCTTCTTTACAGTTGCAACCGCGTCGACAAGGGCCGGGCCTACATATACCTTGTTGCTTCCCACTGTCACATAAATCAGATGGACATCTTGTCTTACAAACAGTTGAAACTTCATTCTCACCACATACAGGAGGTGGTGTGGCTAAAAAATATATAATTGATTTTCCTCTAAATGTTCATTTTTATAATTATAAGGCCGACTTATTATCCTACACAACAGGGTATAGAATCAGAAGTTGAGGAAAATATCATTAAAAATACCTGGACAGTCTTCCGGCAAAATGCAGTCTCCGTTTGGTGACAAGACATAAGAGGGCTTACATTGACAGGTTACGTTAGGTTTACACCCATCTATACAGACTTCGGGCTTTGGATTCTCACAAGTGAGAGGGCATGACGAAGCGCAGTCTGTATATGTCGCATTGCCGCCGCAAGTACTTGGTGCTGTTAAAATTATTCAATTTTAATTTTGATATCAAATAAGTTTTGTAATTCTTTCTGTGAGTCTACGCAATGCGCTTAAACGCTAATATACTTACTTTTTGGACATTGGTCTTTAGGGATACATTTCCCATTTGAGTCTCGAGCGTAACCTTCTTTACAGTTGCAACCGGGACGACAAGGGCCCGGCTTACATAAACTTTGTTGCTCCTTACTGTCACATGAATCAGATGGACATGACGTCTTACAATTTGTTGAAACTTCATTTTCACCACAGACTGGTGGTGGGGCTAAAAATAAAAATTTAATGATTTTCCTCTGAAGATTAAAAGTGATATTTATAAATTCGACCAACCCATTTTCTAAAAAAGTAAAATGTAGAAGCGATCACTAATGAAGAAATTTTTATTAAATACCTGGACAGTCTTGCGGCAAAATACAGTCTCCGTTTGGTGCCAACACATAAGAGGGTTTACATTTGCACTTTACGTTGGGTTTACACACCGCTGCGCATATCCCTGGTTTTGGTGTCTGACAAGTGGGAGGACACGACGAAGCGCAATCTGTGGCTGTTGCGTTACCACCACAAGGATTTGGTGCTGTGAAAAATATAATTTTACTTCCGATATGTAGCTATACCTTTCAAAGTTTTTACACCTCTTCCAACAATAGTGTTACAACGAATTCTACCAATAGCAAAATAACAAGTGTATAAGCCACTACTAAAATAATATTAATGAATGTACCTGGACAGTCTTGTGGCAAAATACAGTCTCCTTTTGGTGACAAGACATAAGAAGGCTTACATTCGCAGCCTTTAGGTTTGCACAGCGCAATACATATTTCCTGTTTTTTTTCCTCACAAGTACGAGGACACGCCGAAGTGCACTCTACTAAAGTGGCATTGCTTCCACATTTAATAGGCTCTGTATTTGAAAAACACAATTTTACTAAAATATTTAAACACTTTGATCGAATAAATTGTAGACATAGACACCGTAAATAGCATTTAAATTTCATCTTCGTGTATTAAACGTGCTGTTTTGTGATGTTTCCTGACTCCTATATTTTGATGGTACTAATAACTTACTAGCTGGACATTGGTCTTTTGGAATACATTTTCCATTTGCATCTCGAGCGTAACCTTCTTTACAATTGCAACCGGGCCGACAAGGACCCGGCCTACAAAGAGCTTGTTGCTTTTCACTGTCACATGAATCAGATGGACAAGACTTCTTACAAACAGTTGAAACTTCATTCTCACCACATACAGGTGGTGAGGCTAAAAACAAAAAATAAACAAGTTTACTTTAAAATTTAAAAGTTATAATTATTAAACCTAGACATTATTACACATAGCAAAGTGTAGAACCAAAAGCTGTGGAAAAATGCATAAAATACCTGGACAGTCTTCTGGCAAAATACAGTCTCCGTTTGGTGATAAGACATAAGACGGCATACATTGGCACTTGACGTCTGGTTTACATAACCCTATACAACCTTCTGGTTTTGGAGTCTGACAAGTGGGAGGGCATGACGAAGCGCAGTCTGTGTGTGTCGCATTTCCGCCGCAAGGAGTTGGTGCTACAAATGACATGATGTTTTATAATTAAAGGCATAAAATAGTTTCTGCTTACTTAGAAGGTAATAAAAAAACTGCTATCGAACTATGCTGGATTTTGTTATTTTATAATAGTAAATTTGATACTTACGTGGCGGACAATTATCGTTGAGAACACATTTTCCTTCGAAATCTCTGAGATGATCCTTAATACAGTTACAACCAGGTTCACATTTGGTGTCGTTTGGGCAAATTCCGTAATCCGTATAAGAAATGTTACAAAATTGTGGCGGACATTTGATTTTGCACGTGGAATATTCTTCGTTGACTCCGCATTTAATAGGTGGTGGGGCTGTTAATTTTAAATTGTATTTACATGAATATCAAAAGTAATGTTTGGTATCAAAATTAATTATAAAATTAGTGGTTCATATGAAAAAATAGGCATCTTTTATAAGTTGGCAATGCTCTACCTATCTTAGATTATCAGAGGAGGGGACATATAATAGACCTATTCTTTATCCCATCCTACCCTTATTAAGAAAAAATGGAAAAGGGAAAAAACACTAAAACAGGCTGCAGGTATTGTAGACTTTACTACTGTTAAATTATTCATAACAGGGACTTCCTTAGAAACTATCAAACGATTCTAATTCCTCAAAAACTTTTCTTGTTGATGAAGTTTGACGGCCTCAAGATTATAAAACTAAACACTTTTTACTGTTTCTACCAAAAAAAAATATACTTACAACATTGGGACGCGGGTACGCAAATACCGGAATCATTTCTGTAGTAACCTTTTTTGCAGGTGCATCGCGGCTCGCAGCCCTGTGGCTTACAGACGATATGATTCTCCTTCAAATCATAGCAGTTCTCTCTAAGGCAAGAGTTTGTACACGGATTCCATTCCTCGTTGGGTCGAGTGCATTTCACTGGTGCTTTAAAGATAATTGATGGTATTTCTTTTAAATGTTATATCCAAAATAAGCAGATTAAATATTTAAGATAACTATTTAGTTCTAAAATTAATAATATCTGGTGTTTCAAAAGCTTCTTATCAAATGATTATTACTTACGGCATTCTGCAGCTAGTATGCAACGAGGTTCTTTGACACTTTTTCTTTTGTAATTTGGTTTACAGGAGCATCCCGAGGGACATGGCCACGCTGGGTCACAAATTAAAATAGCAAGACTGTCATCAACTGGACAATAGTTGGTAGGACATCCTATACTGCAGGCTACAAATGTCTCATTTCGAGGACAAGGGTTGCCACCTAAAATAAAGACATAAATATCTAAAATCTTTATCATTTAAATTAAAATAAGATTGTAACCTAAATTAAATTGCTTACAACCCTATTAATTTCACAATGCTTACCGTAAAGGTGACCTAAATAGTGATAAAAAAATTCTCATTTATGAATTCAGAAACAAATGAATGGAATAAGGGTCTAATTGCCGTGTCTCTGGATGTGGTGAACTCTGGGTACGGTCATCGCATTTGTCATCTTTATTATATACGAAAAATTATAAGTCTCAGTATTACCTGGGCACTCTGTTGGAAGAATGCACTGCCCTTTTGGTTTTGATAAAATATATGATGGGTTACAATGACAGCCTTTGGGTGCACATTTCTTATTGCAGTTCCTCTCGTTTGGTGACTTGCAAGTTGATGGGCAAGCGGAAGGGCAGTCTATGTATGTCGAGTTTTGTCCACATGTTGGCTCTGCAAATAAAATAACAACATTTGACCTTATAACAAACTTAAAAAAACGTAAATTGTTTTTGTATCGCGCCAGTAATATCATCATCTCCCTGGTCTTATCCCACTTACGTGAGGTCCGCGCACCAAGTTTTGTAAACCTCAATTTTTCTTATTTTTAATCATATGACGACCAGTACTAGTACTGGCTTCCTAGATCGCTTTTTTGATTGATTGCTCCTGCACTAACCGCATCCACGATACTATCGTTAACGTTTAATATTTTGGCTAAATTTTTACAGCCAGCCACCTGTCTCTCGCCAACTCTACTTAATTTGAGTAATATTATGAATTAAAAGATTAAAAGAAAATATATTACAAAAAATCTGATTTTTTTTTGTTTACGGAAGTCGTGATCTTACTGCGTATCAACTGTTTCATGACTCATAATAGTTTAACTCATAGGCAGCGTCTCATATTTTTTTAAATTTTACGTTTTATAAGTCAGCAGTATTGGTAAGGAATTTGTCACGGGTCGGAATGTTACAAGTCAATTAACTTACCAGGTTTTCCTGTGCATATTGTATACACATTGGCCACTGGTATAAGCAACATATAAAGTATCAACATACTGCCTGCATTCAACTGAAACATATTCAACATATTATCACGTTTATATGATAAAAATTTACATAACAAATACATATAAAAAACATCTGATTCAACACTCATATAATATTAAATCATTAAGTTCCGTACTTAGTATTTTAAATTATTAATAATTCTTTAAATGTATTTAACAATTCCATCAGTCTTGATATCTTATTTGGGGTAGGCAGAAACAATAGTCTTAAGATCACCTACTAAATATCAATGATGTTGTTTCATTTCTTACTTAGTTATCACTTGAGATAGAAATACACGCACACATCCTTTGCCTTTAAATTCAACACAGGTATTTTTTTTTCGATACTATTTATATTTATAACTTATAATACTAAATTGACCGTAGCTCGAGAATAAACAGTTTAATCTACTGTCTGTTCGAAACAACGACTATTTGAATGATTCATCTCGACCGGGAAAGAACCGATAATTTGAAAATACCAACGTCATATAAAAATACGGTTTACAAATCATAACCTAATGCCAGTTGTAGGAAATAGGTTCTTTTATATTTAAAGTTTAGATGTTCATCGACCTCTATTAAAAAGAAAACATACAAATAGAAAAGAGAAATGATGAACCAATTTCCTTGATGATTAAATAAAACTCTATTGATTGTACTTCAAGGACGCTCCGGGGAAAAGATTGTTAAATTTATGGAAACTGCAGTCCACGACTCCGGCCGCGCGTAATTAAAAAAAAACTAAATTAATCTATGTGTACTTCCAGAATATGCTCTAGATCTAAACAGAAATTCATCGAGAACGCTTGAGCCGTTTTGGTGATACCTTCTAACAAACATCCATCCATCCATCTAAACATTCGCATACAAAATATTAGTAAGATTACTATGGAATCGTAAGGCAAAACGGATCGATCATAATTTAATTGTTTAACTGTAGAAAAACAGTTTCTTCTCATTAGAAAGTTAAGTTAATTAGTTATTATTGTTGAATTTTTTATACGTAAATAACGAACCCTGCAGGTTATTTTCGTATTGCCATTCTCCACCTAACCAAACAAAAGTATTCTAAAGAGATAAATGGTGACAAATATTAAGTGTGACTTAATATGTGCAAATACGATTATTAGTAATATATTTTTCAGAATATGTAATTTTACATTTGAAATAGTCACGTGTAAGTATTTTATACCATTTTATAAAGATAGAGTAAGTCATTGAACTCTATTATTTAGTATTTTTTATAAATAAAGTTTATACTAAGAACGTTGTGAAAATAACCAGTCCTTAAAGAAATTATTTTTTTTATTAGTATATCAATTTCCACGGCACGTGTTAACAAAAGTATTCGCTAATTACACAGACGATGTATGTCCTTTGCATGATAATGAATGGAGAGTTATCAATCGACGAAATTCAAGTCAATTTCATGTACTGGTTATACAAATTTTAAACCGCAGTACATGTAATCTTACTTCTTACTAATATTATAAATGCGAAAGATTAAATGAATAGATGTTTGTCAGAAGGTATTCCCGGTTAGGATTAATGGATCTTGATAAAATTTGGTAGAGATGTAGAACATGGGCCGCGGACGAGAGCGAAAGCGTGCCCGTGGTCCCGTCCCGATGCGTTGGAGGAACAGAGAAGTTTAGTGGGTATGGCTCCGCTATGGAGGAGAATCTCACATAACTACCGCATCCCCCCGGGGCGCGGAGTATGCAAAAAGCATTCCTCTCTGGAAAAAAAAAGATGTAGAATACAGTCTGGAAGAACACATATTAAGTTTTTTTAATTTCGTGCCGATGGAGTCGCAATGCAAAAGCTAGTCGAATATTAGATGTGAATATCTAATATACTATCGTTATAATGCGAATGTTAAGATGGATGTTTGATTTTTGTTCTCGCTGAAATTTAACATAGATGTTGAACATAGCCTGGAAGAACTCATAGGTTACTAAGTCAATTTAGTTTTTTATTATTTATTATAGGGAGTCGCATGCGACAGCTATGATTTGACACAGGCTTTTCACATTTAAGGTTAGCATTTAAAGGGTTAAAGAGATATTATAAAGGTAAGTGTATAGACGTATTTCATGAGTTATATAGTTTTAAACGTATCAACCTTTTAGTGAATTACAGAACAAGTGACCCTCGGGTATAACGACTTAATTAACGTCCCGGGTTCTCGCTCACGGCACAATCCTTTAAATATTCACTTAACTGAGAATACTAAATCCAGACAAGTCCGTATAAATGGAAGTAATTTGTCTACGCGTAGATAATAAGAAGGAAGAATATTCTAAAACTAGATGTCGCCTTTGACTCCGTCCGCGTGGAATTAAAAAGATTTATGCCGTTCTGAAGATACCTTCTGAACGAACATGCATAGAATTTTAATCTGTTGTCTTTAGGACGAATGAACTGTGGTTTCAATATGGAATGAAATAAATATTATATTTTACATTTATTACATGTCATAAAAAATTTAGCGATGTAAACATTGGTCAGTAAGAACGTGAGTCACGATAAAAATCCTTTTCCTCGTGTAGACACGTTTGTAGCGCTTAATTATATTAATTCACGGTGACACAACAATTGTTTAAAGAAGAATTATAATATTAAAACTGTTTGTTTCTTTTTACCTCGAAGAAGTTAATAGTTTGATGGTAATTTCAATAAGTCCATAAATATCTCACACTAGCTGTCGCCCGCAACTCCGTCCGTGTGGAATAAAAAAAAACATAATTAGTTCCCGGAAATTATTTCCTTTTAAACCTCGACTTTTCCCTACACTTCTACGAACATTTCAAGACCAAGATAATAAAAAGCCGTTCAGCCGTTCTCGAGTTTTATCGAGACTAACGAACAGCAATTGATTTTTATACATATAGATAATAATATCACATCCAATCACCAGTAGGCATAACCAAAACGAATATTTTTATTTGACTTAATCAAACATCAAAATACCAAACGCTGTCTTATTTGATATGTGTTACAAGTATTCGTTTCTATTTCCTCAATTACGGGGGATATTATTTTGATACTTGATATAAAAGAAATTCAAATATTAAATCATTGAGGATAATTTCTATTAAAGGTTTTGAATGACGAGCGCCGGTGGCTCAAGGGTTAAGCTAACTTGATATATAATCTGCAGGTCCTGGGTTTGAATCCTGTCACGTACTAATGTGTTTTTCGCTTTACATACACATTTATCCTACGTTCTTATGCCGTAGGAAAAGATCCAAAGATATGAGTGCAGTCAATCAACCCGCATTTGGCCAGCGTGGATGATTATGGCTTAGTCAACCCTAACTTGGGTAGGATCCGAACTCTTATTGGGGACGTTTAGTGAGCTGACGATGATGAAATCTTGATTTAATAAAGACCTTTACATTTGTTAGTTATTAATATTAATAAATGCCCACTTTATTTATTTGCCATTTCAATGCGTGAAATTATCACATTCAGTCCAACCGACTCGTCTACACACTTTTATATGTGTAAAGTGACCTTGAAAATGGTAAGGTTATCGCTTATTGAATACCACTCTGCAGCCTCGCCTTAATTAAGGTGCATTTTCGTTAGTCATCGGCGTCCTTATGTGGGGTGCTGGAGGTTACTATTTACTTGCCGTAGATAATGTAGAAAACAAAACATGTTATAAATTTTATAATATCTGTGATAAAAACTATAATGGTATTCAGATAACGAGAAAAACGTATTTCCCTTTCAGTCAGTAATCTTAAATTAACGCGGTAGTACTCAGAGTCAAAATAACAGGGTCATTGGTGTGTTATATTTGAGTCGTCATAATGAAGAACTGTTAAAACACGTCGAAAGCAAAGTATTGTATTATAGTGAGAATTAATTAAAATTTCTAAAGATTAAGTATTAAACCATAAAAAAAATATTTTTTTATGTATTATGTGTAACTTACCTTGTTAAAATAACAATTGACGTATTAAATATTAAAAAAAAAAATATTTATGTATTGTTACAGCACAAGTGACAGTTTTGATGCAACTGAATTTAAAATAAGCGAATAAATTAATTACACACTCGATTTACTGCTTCTGATTAAAATGTTCACGACACTTGATAAAAAATGTGTTATTTGTAAATAAGTTTGAGTCTTTAAGCAGTTTATTTTATTGTTATCAAGTTAATTGAGGTTAAACATCAACATAACTAATTATTTTAACTGAAAATGTTATTTGAATTGTAGTTTTTAATAATGAATATGGGAGAAAACAACCGACGCTCATGAATATTCACAACATGTCATCATCAGCTCACTATACGTCCCCACTGAGGGGCTCGGAGCCTACCCTGAGTTAAGGGTGACTAGGTTGACTGGGTTGGTTGACTTCACATATATCATTGAATTTCTTCTCAGATATGTGCAGGTTGCATCACGATGTTTTCCTTCACCGTAAAAACGTCAGAAAAATGTACATATGTAAATCGGAAATCGAAAAACACATTGGTACATTCGAACCCAGGACCTGTAGATTACAATTCAAGTGTTAAACCCCTGAGCCACCGACGTTGTTCACAACATGTTCTACAGATAAATTGCCAGCATTAAGAAGAAACTATATCATACCTATTGTTTTTTGTCGTAAGATGTACTGTATAGGCCTAAAGTTACTACCATAATCGTATTAGGCACACAGGCACACATTAGCGTGACATACCAATGGCACCTGTGCTACTAATAACACAAAATTTTGGGCACTTCTGTAATCACAAAATTCATAATACACGACAAAAAATTTAATATAGTTTAGGCACTGATAATTCAATCTGATTCATGTTTATATTTTTACAGTTGACAAATAAAAAAATTATAAGAAATAAAAACATTTATTTTGACAATAAAAATTAATTTATTCGAAATTATATTAACAAAATATAATACACCTTTTGCATATGTATTAAAAATAATCGATAAAAAAATTTACAATTTACAATCGCGTAAACATTATTAGGTAACATTTACAACCAACCAATCCGAAATTAAAATAAATATGATTACATTAATTATAAAATCTTCTATATGTTTGGCACGAAGTTTTTGTAAAGGCCGAATCTATACAAAAAAAATGTAAAAAGGAATATGAGCATTTGTTTATTATGCTAGAGTATAAATCTTTATTATTTAAAATATTGTCTACAGACTAAAAATTTAAAGTAACTGGCACACAATTCGTACAAAACATAACACAGTGGTAAAGTTATTCCGGAGAATAAGGGTTACTACACACATTTTATTTACGATAATCATTTTTACAACCGCAAAATGAACAGCAAAATATTGTCAAATGTGCCCTTTGACTTATTATTTATAATTATTAAAAAATAACAGTATGAAAACATAATTCAAATTGTATATTACCGAAATAAACCCAAAATACTCAAATTAAATCCATTTAAATGAGGACTTTAGTTGTAGACCATGCATTTGACAATGAACCTAGTTTTTGAAATATTAATCTTAAATATTTCAGAAGCCAGAGTTACTACAGTCTGACCATAACAAAATTGGAAAACAATTTTACCCATACCAACCAAATTCATTCAACTATATGAGCTACGCACACTTCGACATATATGTTAAAAATATTAATCTAACAGATTTTTTTTATTTACAAGCGGCCATATATTAATAAATTAAAAAATAAACGTCAGTACTAACTTGCAAACAAAAATTACATATAAAATAGCAAAATTTCGTAGCTCATCAGATCTTATTAAAAAAGAAATAATAAATTTACAAATATAATGCCTCTATTATATACAAAACTCGATATTATGAACATTTCGTTCAACAGTGGAAAGGACTAGGCACACTAAGTACTACATAAGCAAAGAATTACATACATAGACTTTTTACATAACAGTCCATAATCGTATTTACATCTTGGATACATAGTATCAATAGCAACGAACTTTGAATTTAAAAAAATCAAAATTAATTTGTTACAGCGCGTAATATCTCGCATTTTAATGATTTTAATTAACATTTATATTATTAAATTAATTGCGCGCATTATCAGTCTTTTAATTAGAAAGTAAAAAAAGATAAAAGATGGAAATAAAGAAAAGAAAAGATAGTTCGATTTCAAGACACGTTGCTATGTCATACTGCATAGTAGTTCATTCATTATGATGAATAATTTTGTAAGGTTATCTTTGTATGTAAATCTTTGTTGCTTAGTTTAAAATTACCTAAAAAAATTCGTTATCAACACAAAATATGCGCTCGGTTATAATCGTACAAAAATATAAACATTCGTTGAACACATGTCTAGCGCTATGGGACGGGGCGTAATATCACTTTTCTTTAAATTTCACTTAATTTAAACAATTGTCCATTACCACAGAATTCGGACTATAGTTCCGTGGTCGTTTCTACAGGTGATTGGTTATAACTGTAGCCAGTGAAATTCCTCTTGCCAAATGTCACGTTGTCATTGTCAGATGCTCTGTGGAAAAAAAAAACTTTTACACCATTGCAATAATAAATAATTTCTGACCGTACCAACATAGAAAAATAACAAATCGATATGACAACGTTGACTTTGTGTCTGTCGGGTAAAAACTTTACATAATGTTGTTAAAATCGAATTGTTTACCCCAGCTTACAATTGTTTCAGCCCTGGTCCTAACCAATAAATTGTAAGGATCCAATACAAAACAAAAATTTCCAAATTAATAGTGTTATTTGGCTGAAATTAATCGAAAACCCTACGTCCTTTACGATAACAATTGTTCTCTTCTAATGAACATATTGAGAAAATGAAATTTACAATTCTAAGCCAATGTTGTGTGAATTTAATTAATCTGAACAAATGAAATATTGTAAATTGTTAGACAAAATTTATGATTGTTTCAAAAACTGCGCATTACTAGTAATTAAAAGGGATGAAACATTGCAAAAGTAATGTAGGACGGTGGTTTTTGAACGAATGTTATACAATTAAGATTGAGATGCGTGAATGACTGATCGGACAGAATGGAACGGAAGTATGAGTGTGAGCGGAATGAACATTGAAGGACGGCAAGACGAAAGGAGTGCAAGTAAAAAGATATTATAAAGCAGAAAATAAAATAATAAGAAGACGGAAAATCTTTCATTCTGCCCACCGCCTCACCACAAATTTGAATGATTAAAATCATATATAATACATATAAAATAAATCGTGTCACAATGTATGTTCGCGATAAACTCCGTAACTACTGATCCAATTCTTATCAAATTTTGTAAACAACTGTATAAATTACAGTTGTTTACAAAATTCCAACTTACGAGATAGGGTAGTTTTTATGTCAAATATTGATCTCGATATACGTATTGCAAATTAAATATTTATTATACGACATGAGTGTGTTTTATTTAGATGGATGGATGTTTGAAGGTATCTTCAGAACGGCTGGGTTATATCTTACTAATATCATAAATGCGAATGTTTAGATGGATGTATGTTTGAATGTACATATATGCAGAACGACTAAGCAAATCCTGCTGAAATTTGTCATGGATGTAGAGCATACTCTGGAAGAACACATAGGTTCTAATTTAAGTTATTTTTTTTTAATTTGCGGACGGAGTCGAGGGCGATAAGTAGTATATTATATTTACCTCTGCAAGCCAGGAATCTCATCGTACGCCATAATAGGCTGGGTGGCTTTCTTCTTATGATTGGTATTAATCTTTCTAGCGAGCGTAGCGTGCAGTAGCCCGCCGGCGCTGTTATTCGCGCGAGGTAACGTGCCCAGCGCGTTGTTGAGGGCGTGCCCTTGCGCGTGCACGGCGGCCGCACGACGGTTAAGCGTCTGCGTGCCCCCCACAGTGCCCCCGCCGCCTCCTGGGCCCCCACTCGTCTCTAGTGAGGGTTGGTTGTTGAGCGACGCTGCGTTCTCGTTTACGCTTGACGCCCGCGCCGTTGTTGCCGTCTCAGATAATGTTGGACTACGTTCTCCTACATATGACAATATATTTATAGTTTTTTTGGTATCGGTTACAACTACCGGCATAGCATCTAAATCGAATGAACAGATCCATAGTGATACTAAACAATAATTTTTAATATTAAATCTTACTAATATGCACTTACTAATACTAATACAAATGCAAAAGTTTAGATGTATGGATGGATGGGTGTTTGTTATTATTATCTCTCGAACAGCTTATAGGGTTTCGCTAAAATTTGGCATATATGTACATAGTATGTATTGTATAATAATAATTACTTACCGTTGTCTTTAGTAAGATATTGCACGCTGTGTATGTTAAACGCGTGGTTATTTGGACTAAAATCAAGCTGCAAATCTGCGTCATCTACAGCCATGTTTAAAACCTGAAACGAACGATAACCATGAGATCATCAGTTAGACAAAACAGTGATGAATAAAAGACTACTGACAAATTGCTGTCTTTGTTTTTTCAAAGAGAATGAGAGAGATGACTAATCAAGTGTCACGATACTGTAAATACACAGAACTATGAACTACAGAGTGAGATATAAACCAGTGTTATTTGAGTTCTAAATACCTGTGTTTCATATCTGGGTGCAGGTTCATCTTCGCTGGACTCGTAGCCGGAGGGAGGTCGGGGCGGCGGCATGCTCATACTCAGTGTACCGTACTGCTGAATGGCTTGCTCTTTGTGCTTCTTGTATCTGTACTCATAGAAGGTGATGTAACGTTAGAAGCGATTGAGGCATCATGATAGATTTTCTATTTTCCTGATTAATTTATATATACCTGTTCCATGAGGCGCAGATGTATATAGTAGCGGCGGTCGCTGCAACCAGCACGAGTGCTGCGAGGGCTAGAAGTGCGGCTGGTAGCGCTGTGGCAAGCGGCGCGGCGGCTAAGTGTGGACGTATTGGCGGAGCGGCGGCAAGCAGCGGTGCACGCACCTCGCTTACCGGCGCTTGCAGACGCGCTCCCACGGCCTTATGCACACCACTCTCTATAGCACTGTCACATAATAAATACTTAGTAAGATGTGAGGGGATAAGAGGGTAAACTTGATTCATTATAACCGAGGGGATTTCCCCGAGTGCACGAAGGGATGCAGAGGGAATACTAAGTTACCATTATAGGAACAACATTACTACTGTAATGTAGTTCCTTATGAGTACTACGAAACAAGGTTTTCATTTTCAATTAGAGGTTTAAGTCTTATTGGATTAATAATTTCATACTACGAGGGTACTACTTACTTCTTCACTGGCGTAGATTCTCTTGATAATATTGCTCCAGTGTTAGGATCGACCAGATACAACCAGACATCTGTTCCTTTGGTATCACTCTCTAGTGTCCCGTTCTCTCCCAAGTAATGTCTAGCTGTCAACTTCTCCAGACCAGCGACTAAACCACTCTTCTCTTCTATAGCTTGAAGGAAACTACGCGATTGTCTCCTTAGAGTTTCCGCATTCAAATCCGCTACTTCGACAACCAGCTGATTTTCTTTTTGAAGGAGATTAATCTGAAATAGATGCGATTCATTTAAATATCTGATACGACAACGATTGAATTTTAATCATCAAGGAAGTAATGAAAATGAATGTGGTTGCAAAGGTAGAAGATCGAAGAAAGTATGGATGGATGATCCATTAGAAGTGTGGACGTATGAAATTGGGATGTGTAAGGATTGATCGTGGTGAAAATATGGTGTAGAAAAAATTTACTATTTAAATTAATTTCCATAGACAATTGGTTTACGGGGTGATATAAATTTTTACGTTAGCATACTTACCACAACAGAAGCTCTAGCCACATTATAATCTTGTGGGGAATTAGGGTTATCTCTTGCGGTGACACTGAATTTGAACGGCAGTACATCTGTAGGAACATTCTCGAATGTCTGTATATTGCTTATCACCCCTGTATCTGCGTCTAGGCTGAAGTACTCCTCTGCTGCTTTGGTCCACGAATTCTTTTGGTATTCTATTTTACCGTAATCCCCACTGTCTTTATCTTTGGCCTGAGGAAAATCATATAAAATATTTAAGACTAAATAATGACAAATGAAGGAAGCTTTGATGTACCAAAATGGTAAAATATCTGGTTAAATCAGCATTCAAATAGCTAAAAAAAAGTATCCCGTTTTTCTCCTTATTTGTAGTACAACGGGATTCAAAATTATTGTTGTTTCTTAGGAAAATGGCGATAATGGATATTTAGTAGCAGTACTGTGAATAATATAGTGTAAATTCTTACCTTAACTTGTAACACGTTAGTCCCTAAAAGCATTTCCTTTGTTGCTATAGCGAAATATTTCTCCTTTGCATTAGCAATCGTAGACTGTTCGGGGAAAACGAACACTGGTGCATTATCATTTGCATCAGTAACGTGAACTTTCACAACCGCCTTACTAGCATCAGGGTTTATCAAACCCTGTATAGATTCTAATTGTACTTCAAGAGAATACTCCGAAAGAGTTTCGTAATCTAACGAACTTGTATTTAGGTAGATCGCACAATCCCTCTCTTCGGTTAATTTTACATAAAACACACCTAAAATGCAAAATGAAACTTTACCAAATAAATAATCACATCACGTTTAGTCACATTTCGTTACAAGAAAGAGAAGGAAGAGCTTCGCAATATTACGTTACAAGAAAGAGATAGAAGATACTATCATAATTGCAATGTGTTAATGCTTACCATTTTGTGATGACTCAGTGAGTCGACATTTCAGCGGTGTATCAGGCGAATGTTCTCTCTTGTTCAATAACGGTAGTATCCTGACCAGAGTGCCGTTAGGTGAATTTTCCGCAACGTGCTCCGTGTATAAAGTATCCGCGAAACCAAGTCCCACCTATAAAATTAAATAGAATTTATATTACATACTATTATAATAATGCTCACTAGAACTACACTTACCTATTGTATAGAAAAACAGGTCCAAATTAAATGTAAAAAATGATAAATAAATGAATTATTATCCATGTGTACGAAGGGCTCAAAAGACCATCATCAACCTGCCCTTATCCCTATCGAGGGTCGGCACAGCATGTACTACTCCTCCATACATCTCTATCAGCCGTCATATCCGAGTCTACCCCCTTCTTACGCATATCCTCTTTCACACAGTCATTCCATACTTTTTTGGTCTTCCTCTACCCTTGTAGCCATCCACATTCAATCTCATTACTTTTTTGCTTATATCATCATCATCCCTCCTCATAACATGTCCAAACCACGCTAATCTTTTACTCCTCAATTTCTCGATCACTGGCGCTACTTTCAAACTTCCTCTAATATACACATTTTTAACTTTATCCTTCCTTGTCACACCACACATCCATCTTAGCATACGCATTTCAGCTACATGCAATCTTCTTTCATCCGAAACCTTGGTGGCCCAACATTCAGACCAAAAGACCAAAAAAAAATATGGTATGACTGTGTGAAAGAGGTTATGCGTAGGCCGGTAGATTCAGATATGACGGCTGATGGAGATGTATGGAGAAGTAGTACATACTGTGCCGACCCTCAATAGGGATAAGGGCAGGTTGATGATGATGATGATGATGTGTACGAAGGGCTCAACGTATACGTACTACGTACTAATTAGGGGCGCACTACGTACAATACCTACTGAGTACATTTTATAACAGATTGTATTCTGTTGAAGTACTTTAAAAAAACAACTTACATCAGGAGGTACGGTTGCGGAATGGCTAACGTATATAGTAAGGCTCAAAACGGTTGACATCACCGGGTCTCCTTGGTCATAAGCTTGGACATCAACCTGTAACAATACCAAGTCTTGTAAGTTATTTTGCCTCATTTATTCCATTGCAATCTATACGAAGACGTGCGCATGGTTAGTTAAATTATATTTTTGTTAATCCTTACCGTATATTCACTATCGGCCTCTTTCCTTAAATCGTCACGGACTCGTATCGCTCCCGTATCTGGTTCAACGTGGAAGTATATCGAAGCTTTGCCTCTGCCTACTAACTTGTAGCGCACTTTGTTATTAGGTGACGTGGCATCCGCGTCCGTAGCTATGACAGTTTGTACCAAATTACCGATTGATGATGAATCCTCTATGGTGACTGGACGAACGGCCATTGTGAATACGGGCGCATTGTCGTTTTTATCCTGAAAGTCATATTAAATTGCCAAATATTAGATTTTGTTATTCTCAATTAACATTTTAATTGCGTTGTAGTTTTTTTAATTTCTGGGTATATATTTTTTAATTAAATCTGAATTTAATTTTACTATTTAGGCAAATTGCAAAGTAAGTAACTTTACGTTTGTCTTCTTATTTCTTTACTTTTAAATTTACACAGAGATTAGTTATTCTGAACTGAAAAAAAACACAAAACACAGATCGGTAGATTGCAAAACTGTGCCTTGCTCGTCTTCACTGGTGTCATAAATACCTCAAATTAAGCTACTTACATCAACAATAACTTCAACAGTAGTGGTAGCTCCCGGCATATCCTGGTTATTCTCCTCAGTGCCAACAACCAGCTCATGCCTAGCGCTCGCCTCCCTGTCTAAAGGCTGTACGGTCCTGATGACTCCATTCTTACGGTCGATAGAGAATAACTCCATATTCCCTTTTAATATAGTATAAGTAATCTCCGGTATCGTATCTGGATCTGTCGCCTGAAAGGTTGAAATAGGAAATTATTATTGGTTCTAATGATGCTTTTGTTGATGAATGATTTTTTTTTAAGTTTAATACTTTCTAAAATTACAACAAGATACATGTGATTTAATTAAAAATATTAACTGAATATGATAATATTGTTTTTATGATATTTTATGCGAAACATTGCCTTCAAGTTTAAACCTAGTTCTAATATTGATTTTTAGATTTCTAAATTATTTGATAAAATTTCCGCGTATATGACCTCTTATAAACAAACATACATCCATCTAAACATTCGCATTTATAATATTATTACGATTACTTACATGTACTTGAACAACGGGGTAATTGTTAACATTTTCCGGGACATGCACCGTGTAGATGTCCTGCAGGAACACTGGGTCTTCATCAGGCACATCCTGTACTTGTACTGTGACTGAAGCTGTGCCTAATCGCTTATCTATAGCACCATCCGTTGCTGTTACTACGAAGGCGTAATCCTGTGAAACATACAAGAGATTGATATATTAATAAACTTTGAGTGTGTAATGCTAGACGAGTAAGCTTAACGGCCTTATTACGACTATTTTATAATTTGTCTAAACATTGTTTGGGCAACTTTATAGTAAGTTTAATCATTTTATGTTGAACATGTTTATTTTTCTTCGCTCTAGAACATCCTATATAATATTCTTTTAAATCGCACCATGTAATTATTTTAATAGTATTCACATCACATTATTAACTTCATTGTTATCCTCACAGTATTATTTTAGGACATCCTATATAAAGTCTTGAATAAATCTGCTTACCTTAATGTCTTCATAATCCAGCTCACTGAGTGTAGTGATCATGCCGGTAGCATTGTCTATTGCAAATGGCAGGTTCGCGGGTAGACTGTAGCTCAATAACGCATTGACACCTTCGTCATCGTCAGTCGCGTGAACGTAGCCAACTGTCTCGCCTGACAAACCTGGATTTCATATTAGATATTAAAACAGTTTAAAAAAAGTTTGATTATAGGGTTTCTAAGCTGTGATTTATATAAATTAAATATTTACACTGCAAATAACAAATCACTGACCAATTCTTGTGGTCTTTGTAAAGTCTCATATTTTCAGGATTAGTTTTCTATTATTTACCGTGAGTTTCTGAGACCAAATCTCTGTAAAAATTATTTCGTCATCTCTCATTATCTTTGCCAACACAGATATAGCAAAGTGTTTTAAACGGAGAATTATGTCTCAGAAAGGAACTGTTAAATGTTAAAGTTGATTGCTTCTCGCAATTAAGTAAATTTAACTGGATGAAAGAATAGTAATATGGTAAGAGTATAATACCTTCTTTGACTTGAAATGTATAAGAATCTTCTTCGAATTTGGGATTATTGTCGTTGATATCAGTAACTTTGATGTTAACCGTCGCGGTGCTTGCAAGTTTACCGGGGTCTTCCGCTTTAACCATCTGATGAAAAAATAAACCAATTGTAGAGATGTTTTTAAATTTACTTGTACCTTTTCAACTAAGCTCTAGGCTTGTTAAGACGCTACCGTCGTCAAATGGCGGGATTCGATGCCTCGGCGGATATGGAATCCGTACTCTTAACCATTAGGCTATTTGGCGCTTCATTATCATTTAACTTCCAAAATTGAGAAAAGATTGATAAATTATTAAATAATGGGACTCACAATTTCAGATATATTAATAAACATAGTCAAGAAGGTTTTGGATCAAGCTAGAGTCAAGCTATTTAGAAAATTTATCGATCTTTTATTAGCCCGAACTACACAAAATTCTCTTTGTATTTTTGAAAAGACAAAGCAAGGATAAAATCATGTAATCTTACTTAAATAAAAAAATCCGGGAAAAATAATTAAATAACATTACTTACAAGTTGATATCGTGTGAGTACTTCTCTGTCTAGTCTTCTAATCACAGTGATGATTCCCGTGTTGGAGCCGATAGCGAACTGACGTAGATCATTACCTGATACTATAGAGTATGTTACTTGCTCATTCTCGGGATCTTTGGCCTGGAATTAACAATATTATTTAGTGACTAAGCGAAGATAAACAAATAGAGAAGAAAAGGTCGATTATTTTGCTTATGTGTTGCTTGGAGCCTTCCTCTTAGTTACGGATGACATGTAATTTGTATGTATGTTAAAAATGTATTAAATCTAATTGAAGCCCTCTAGCGGCGAAAAAAGCAACTTTGTATGTTGCCTATAATTGGCCTTATTTCTTCACTCAAGAAATTGTACTATGCATAGTTAACACAATAAAGAAAGTGTAAGACACTCATTGAAATAAGCTTACGGTAACAGTGGTAACAGTAGAGTTGATGGCAGCGCCCTCTGAGACAGGCGCGTAGTAATCTCTTGCGGTGAACTGCGGAGGTCGTGTGTTAGGACCTGGGGCTACTAGTAATTCTACTATGCCTTGTGAACTGAGGCCTTTAGCATCTATAGCTCGAATGGTGACGCTGTATTGCTCGCCTGCTTGTAAACGACCGGTACTCGCTGGAATGTAAAGGTTTCAAGTTTTGTAATTAAATTCTTTTAATCTATGACTCAGTTTTTCTGGAAGAAAAGTAAGTAGCAAGTGGTGATGCATATTCACATCTAGTCTTGGTTGAATCTTAAACAAAGAACGCTAGAATTAACCCTATATGAGAGGGTCTAACACGAACGTTTGCGGGAGAGATTCGAGAATGTATTCGTAACGTCTTTGACAAAATATTTATGAGTATTGTTGATGCGCTTTTTGCCCGGTACAAATGTATTTTTTGGATGACGTTACGAAAACGTTCTTACGAATATTCGTGATATGTCCATTTTGTTTATGTATGATACTTACATATGATTCCAGTGTTGGGGTCGATAGTAAACTTGTTGCCGCCATTGTTGGACACGTGGTAGATACTGTATGTGATCCGAGCGTTCTCACCTTCGTCAATATCTGTCGCTGTTACCTGAAATACAAAAAAAATATGTTGACAAGATCAAACTATAAGCATTTGAGAAGCAATCTACTTCGCAAAAAATCAAAACTTGAAGACTTTGAGACTTTAAAAACGAGTCAAGGTTACGCGCACTTCGTTACATAACAGAGAAGGCAGATATAATCACTCCTTTAATAATCATTTTCCTCCTTAATCCATAGCAGATCCTATTGCATATAATTTTTAACATATGTTTCAACCGTACCTTACTTTTTCCTGGTTAGTTTCGGTGTGATATAGCCTAGTACAAAAATAAATAATACTATAACTTTGGTATTATTATGATGCAAGCTGTACCTTATAAACAGTAGTTGGTTCCAAACTGGCAGGTACGGTGATTGGTTGTGTCTTCGGTATGACGGGCGCGTTATCATTGACGTCTAACAGTTGTACAACGAGTGATAATGGCGCGGACGCAGCACCGCCGTTTGCTTCACGAGCTACCACCTGAAAAGAATATTCACGTACAGATACTAACTGTTGTTGTGATCGAGGGGCCGAAAATTTGGGACAAAATTTATATTTATATAAGTACCGCGACAAATCTCACGCAAGTTGATAATGTTACGGAAACGCATATCGTAAATATTCGCGATAGACCCTCAGATATCCTAATTTAACCGTGCTGAAGGTTCTGAAGATCCGTCTGTTCGTTTTAGCGATAGGTGTATAACGGACTGTACACTACCGCTAAGGAAAAATACATTAAATATTACTTCCTTATGAATTCTGTGATTAAGTAAGCTTACTTGGAATCTCAATTTTCCTGGGCTCGGTGGATCTCGATCTAAATGTTCATCGTTGACTATTAGATATCCTTCCGAGTCTATATCGAAGAAGTGCGTTGTAAGTTCGAAAGAATATTTCGGTACAGGATCACCAGGGCCCTGAAAAAATATAATTTAGACTATTGTATTTGAAATTTACCTTGATGAAAACCAATATTTATAACCAAGTGTTGTGATTATTATAATTATAATAAAAACCTTACCAAATCAGGATCGGAGACAGATAATTTAATAGGTTTTCTATTCAAATCTAATACTTTGGTGCCTCTGGGTGAGTTCTCTTCGACCTGCCCCTCCTCGGAAGAAGCATTAACAACGGGTGGGCTGGCGTCCACGGGACGGACTGTTATTGTTAGCTTTGCAGTCGTGTAGCGACGACCTTCTGTTATTTCTTCTGCCTGTAAGACAACGATTGTAGTAGACACTTTCTTACGTTGGTCAGTCAGAAATGATTATAATATCTATTAACTTGTCATGGCTTTGCTAGACAGAAAAGATAGATACATAAAAGGTTTTTCAAAGTTAAATGATATAAAAAAAGAATTTTTGCACAGGCAAGTTATCTTCTTTTTATTAACCAAATTTTACTTGTATTGCTAAAAGAGATGAACACAACTATACATATTCCTTAAAATAAGTGGAAATTACCTTGATAACGAGTTGAAACCTCTTAGCGACAGTAGTATCAACAGGCAGTAACTGTCTAACAGCGCCAGTATTCTGGTCTATCGAGAAATAAGTAGCCCAGGAGTCAGGCTCGCCGCTCTCTATGCTGTATCGTATCTTAGCTTCTAATGTATCCATGTCTACCGCTTGGATCTTTTCTGGTTCAATTGACAGGATTCCTGATAGGACTCCGCTGTTTACCTAAAATTAATGAATAATCAGGATGTGAATACACAGGTACTTTAGTTTAGATTGCTTTAGATGCAATGATAATGACTTGATTCGAACAGACGAGCAGAAGATCGTCAAATCTTAGTTGATCTGACACCCATGGACGTCGCCAACATCAAAGAAACTACTGCTTTACTGGCCTTAAATACTTTTGGGGATGATATGTTTGTATTGCGAAAGTACCAAAATACGTTTTAGGAAAATTAAAAGTCATCAGAAGTGCTCATTTGTTCTTTGATAGCATATACTTACATAGCTGGTATATTCGGGGTTGATGCACGCGCCATCATGCATGGTACAGCCTTGGTAGATAAAGGAAGGGTCTTGATCATCATCATCTAACACGTTGATTGTCATCGTCGTGGTACTGGACAGTCGTCGTTTGGTGTCACGCGCGCGATCCTGATAAAGAAACATGCTTAATTCTGCCTACATTTATTTTATCAAGAAGTAATCTTGAAAGTTGTACGTTAAAGTTATCTTTAACTGGCGTAAATTTTAAAGGTGTAAAATTCACTCACAGAAGCAACAATAGTGACTAGATAAAGCTTCGTTCGCTCGTAATCCAAAGTCCGGTTGACCGTCACCACGCCTTGATGAGGCAGAGGAATGGAAAAGTAGCTGTAACCATCGACAGCATTCTCTTGTTCCAAAGTCTTATTATCTCCTGGTATGATAAAGTATTCCGAAAGACCGTTCACTCCTGCGTCTATGTCCACTGCTCGGATACCTTCGAATACCGTTGTACCAATCGGCACTAGCTGTAGAAAATACAAGAGACAAATTTAAATGGATTTCTGCCTTCATAACCATTTAAATTGTTTTCCTAAAAGACTAAGGAGGACCTCGTGTTAAATTCTTTGACCATAAAAAAGCTGTTATTAGAATTTTGTGATATCACTGTATTTTTATGAAGCGCAACTGTGGCTGATTGAACATCTAAATTACAAAATTATCAATAAATATATTCTTACCGTGGGTTTCCGATGCCAAAATACCCGTTTAAAATATATTGTTATCTTTGTTTTTATCAAAGATAGTGAGTGGGGTGACGAAATGTTTTATATCAGTATCAGAGACGTTGGTATCAGAAAGCCACGGTTAGTTTTGCAATCATTTATTTAATAAAGAAATTGTTCTTTTAACAAGACATTTTAAAACTGTCCCAAAAATTCTCCGTACTTGTAATCGTACACTTGAAACTCACCTCGGAAACATTGGCTTCATACGGCGTGTTCTGGAAGACGGGTGCGTTGTCATTGATATCCGACACCCTCACTATGACCGGTATCGTCCGCCGCTTTTTTGTCGCTTTCACTTGACATACGAGCTGTAATATCAATGAATAAAATTCTTTTAATAACTGGGAAACCGTGCACATGTTTGCACATCATCGAGGACAGAAGATTATTTTTGAGGCGAGAAGTCCTGAAATATCTTCCTGTACATTTCGTTTACTTCGTTCCTTTGTTGTTTCGTTTTTATATCTAGTTGTATCTTACTTAAATTAGAGAAAAAACTTATAAATTGGTTTAGGGTAAGCAACTATTAGCACGAGTTTTCCAATTCAAGTAGTCAAATACTTTCGCCGCTTACAAGCGATGGTACAATCTAGCAATGGTGTAGCTTCGGGCAATATAAACAATTCACAACACCTGCTTATTTAATACTCTATTAAATATATCGTTTAGAAAGATACAGATCGAAGTGATACAATACGAGAAATTAAACCTATTAATTGCAATGCAAGGCTATTTAAGATAGTGAAGGGATTAGAGGTATTCAAATTGAAATAATAAAACATATGCTTCTAGACTAAGACATAACAACAATTATTCACCTTTCGAGCAATACCATGTTGGCAAACTTTTTACTAAAATATAGCAATAAAAAAAACAATGTAAAAAGAACGAAAGACATGTGTTAGACACAGCAATTCTGTGAATGACGAAGAAAAAAACGCCAAAAAATTATATTCGTTATGAAAAAGGAACACAATGTCGATTTCACAGTGTTTATCTCACTTTCAGTTACTATACAATACTGTTGGTACTGACCTGGAAAACCATATGCGATAGGTTATCGGCGTCCCTGTCCAGCGGTTGCAGCAGCTGCAATCGCTTGCCGTCCAGCTGGAACAGCGTGGGCCCCTTGGGGAACACAGTCGACAACACTATGTCCACATCCGGTTCGCCAACTATCGGCAACTCCGCCGGTATTGTACTTTGGTTTACATCTGCAACAAAACGAAAATTATTGAACTATTTATAAGAGGAAAGACATAAAAATGATAGTATTTGCAAATATTCCTAGCTCACAGATCATGGTGTGACAAAGATAACGAAACGGAATGTTGAATTTGGTGACAATGTTAGTAAACGAAAAAACAATGTTATAAAAGGATATATGTGATAGCTTCTAGGTATCGTAAAAAATTACTCACTATCTCCTCTGCTTTCTTCTATATCCACAATAATGCTTGACTGCCCAGTCTCTACTTCGCATGGTCCTGAAACAAACATCAAATAATATTTCAAACATGCCTTATACTTTTTGGGATTCTTTTTAATACAAATATCACAATTCATCACAGAGTAAACTTACCGTAAGGTTTATTAATATTATTTAACTTGTAATACTGAACAAGAATTATAATTGAAACGATACTTAAATTAATCATTTGATCGCTAGGAAGGAATACGTGTGCCTTCATATGGAACGTTAGAGAAATGATTGTATAGTATTCTTCATTTGTAGTCGGTCAGCCTCATCTATGAATATGGGTAAACAAAATGCGATTGTTCTTCACTATAGTATAGTTAGTTTGTTTATGTTGGATGCGACAATGAATTAGTATACACCTAAACAGTTGAGGTCATTCGCATTTGCCTTGATTGTGAAAATACTATTTGTATTAGAGTTAAATCTAACCAGCTTGATAAAACTAAGACGCGAATATGTTTTATGTGGGTGTTATGCCTACGGAGTCACGGTAAAGCGTTATTTGATTGACTTTTTAATAGCGCACGCCCGCGACGTTGTCTCTGCGGAATTAAAAAAATGGACTTTAATGTTACCGAATATATTAGCCACCGTTTCCGATTTTGAAGATTGCCCGGAACACACGCAGACTTACGGACAGACAGACAAAAAATGTTTTTTTTATGTGTAAAGCCACCAGTGTAAGTGTGTTTATACCAAATTCGCAAAATATTTTTCGATAAACTAAATATATAATAATCTGTATCTTTTCTGTCATGTTGGCAAGTCGTAATCACACATAGTAATTGAAATACATAGGTCAATGACCACACGTGGCCCACTATGAAAAACAAGTCGATGTATGTTCATACGAGATTACTTCACGCACGCCGACTTCGAATACCTTAAAATAATATCCTTATCTCGGCAGTAGGTAATTATGCTGGCAATCTCCAAACCGGAACACATCGCAAACACTGCTATTGGGCGTCGATAAGTGAGGTTCTGCGGACCTTTGTACGTAGATCGTCTATCCCTATTCTCACTCTAGTATTATGTAATAACTGTAATTAAGAAAAAAACTATTTACGCTATAAGTACATATGTACAGACAAGATTTTTGTATGTTAACTTTGCTAAGAATAACCATAGAGTTGAAAGCTGTCTGTTGTGGCTTGTGTTAGTATAAAGAAATTTTCAAAAGTTTCATTTTTCTAGCGAAAATTAAAAATCAGTTTTCCTCCGTTTATTGGAGCTAACGTCAAGACAACAGTCTTAATTGTAAAACTAGTGTTCTCCCCGACATCGTCAACGTCAGACAAAAATTACTTATTCATTAACAGCTACATAATTACATGACGTGTACGAAATATAATTTTATTCTCGATATAACATACAGACATTCCACTTTTATTAATATATATTATGATTTAAAATCTATTGTTAATAAATTGCTGAACATGCAGTCTAAATGCAATATATTAACACAACAGTTGCTGTCGGGTAACCAGTCTTCAAGCACTATAGTTAGCTGGGAATGAATTGAGTCGTAGTAAAACCCATAAGGAAGAGGTGTGCAATAAACGTATACACAATAAATCCCAACCAATAATGAACTCTCCCAGGGGAAACGTGTTGACGGAGCGATGCTAATTAAACCCTCACCGGGGTCTATTTTATTATCTTAACGTTTAAATTTAATTACTATGAATGGCTTTGTTTGGTTTTCGAATAGGAAGCTAATGGTGACTTTTTAGGTTATTTTAAGGAAACAATTACGTTTTGAAAAAAAGTATTTTTGATAAATATTAAGCAATTCAATAGATAAAGTATTATATCTTGGCAATTTAGTTCTGATTTATGAGTATAATTAAGGAGCATATAACATTTTTTCTTGGGAATTTATTTGCTAAGTTACATGTAGACTATGTCCCTTATAGTCGCTTTCTTACGGTTATGTACAAAAGGTAAATTGTCTTAATTCCATCCTTAAAGATCTAAAGGAATGATGTTAGATATCTTTAAATATAAAAATCAATTGCTGTTCGTTAGTCTCGTTAAAACTCGAGAACGGCTAAACGGATTTATCTTCTCTTAGTCTTGAAATGTTCGTAGAGGTCTAGGGATGGTTTAAAATGTGTTAAAAATTCGAATAATTAGCGCAAACTAACTTTTTTTTCGAGTCAAGGGCGACAGTTTGTTTATTTTTATATAAATGTTTTCATTGCGGGGAGTAGCTATTAATAGTATATAACTGTAAATACATGTAATTTTATAAGCAGGATTTCCCGTAATAGAGATAGCGATGCGCAACTAATGCGGTACGTTACCGGCTAATGGTGTCGAAGGCCAACATCGGGCCTATGACATTTTGCATCAGCCAAGATTATCATATCGAGATATATCGCTATTTGTGTACACAATTTCACAGTTATAATTATGATTTCATTAATTCTAACCAGAACTATAATACATTGTACAGTCAGCTGCATAAATGTATACACATACAAAAATTTAGAAACTTGCATAAGTCTTCAATTTTAAAAAAAAGTATGCACGAATACGCCAATAACACGTAATTATAGTAGGAAGCATACTGTAGGATTCATGTGTAAATATTTTTGAAAACGAAGGCGTAAATGCTTTCATTTTGGAGCTTTGTATATGTGTATACATATATTTAGCTGACTGTACCATGGATGAGCACGATCCATCGCTATAGATAAGACAATCTTGATCTTTTAATACACCTAAATACGGAATAAAGTACTTGTATATTTATCATTAGAAATTTGTTTCTATCAAAGTCTGAATTTTCTAAACAGCCGTGTATACAATGTTGTTTTCATGTGTATATTCGACTTTCAAACGCATACTTACATCGAGAACCCATTACACTGTATCGAAATAGGGCGTGTCTGAGAAATTTTCAATTAATAACCTATTTGTCAGCTAACCACTAATTAAGGGTTCTCGATTAAAACTCATACGCCTTTTACGATCATTTTAATTAATATACGTTCAGTAAATGTCTGTTTATTTTCCTAACGATTTCCTTGAAAGGCGTGAATATGTTCTAGGTGCAAACACGATCCAAATTATACAACAAATATTTATTCTTTGAATTGTACACAAATGGAACTTTGTCATGGTAAAAAAAATAGCGTAACATGTTCGACAAATCGACAATTATTCATAAAATTTTAAAAAGCGCCATCTATGGAATCAGGTATTAAAAAACTTAAAAACCTCAGTTCAATTATAAACTTCCAACTCTATTTATGTTTGTAATTTTTTTTCTTGTTTTAACACAAAATTACTAAAGCTTTCTATTATGTAAAGACAATAAATATTTCTTCCGTGAAATACGAGTACAACGACTTTTCGTAGTTATTACTTCAATTTATTAGAACTAAGGAAACGTCGGTATATACCTTTTCTTTAATCAATTTAGTAAACCAATTAGGATTAGTTTCAACAGGCCTCAACGAGTGACGCGATATATTTCAATCAATTGCAAAGCTTGCTACGTTAATTAACCACTACCTTTATAGTGAAGTTAACTACGCGTCACGAAGATTTAAACTAATTTACTTATACGAATAGCTATCGTAATGAATAATAATTTGTTTCTGGTATAATTAATCGTAGGTTTCTGATACCAACATTCTTGTATAAAACATTATCTCTGTTTAGTTAAATATCATGACTATGTGATTATGTGTTTTGTAAAGATTTTGGTCTTAATAGTTTACTATAATTCAGATATATTTATATTTTATATCTTTTTATAATAGATATACAAAGCATAAGTTAAATCACAATATTTTAGTTCTTTATCGTAGTTCCGAGCCGTCGTAGTCGCGGGCAACACCTAGCATCGTAATAAAAATAATACGTACGATTCCTCAAGTTAGGCAAACTTTTTTTTATATTTCTGCTTTTTAATTTATTCCTGTTAAGGAATAGATTTACTTTCGTTTAACCCATCTTTTATTTTTGCATTCCTTACGTTCTTCGCAGTTTTTTTTTCGATTTTTTGCGTTGATATTAAAACTCGACCAGTCATACAATATAGAAACAACGCATTCATTCGTTCATTGAGTTGCATGCCGCTAGCGGAGTACAATACTGTTATTTGTTTATTTTGAACAGGAAACAATTGAAAGGTGATGTTATCGGGACCTGTCAGAGAAAGTTATGCTCCTAATATTTTAGGTGACCTTAAAATACTTTGGTTCGATGATTCAATTTGAATGTTTTGAAAAATTATCACACTGATAAAATATTAATAAGAAATTAATTAAAAATATATTTAAAGTTAATGAATTTTTGTCGTCTTGAAATATAAAATAAGACTGTCTATCGATAATTCAAATACGTTATGAGTAATTTCTAACTCTTTAATATTGTGGCTGTAATATATGGTATGAATTAAACGACGGTTAGCTGGGGACTGGTTTATTTTGCCAAATTAACAGGGTAGGTTGACATCACCTACCTACATTAACAATAATACATTACAATATCCCTCTCCAGATGAATTACAATGAAAATTAAAGCAATAATAATTGCACAAACTTAAATGACTAATCAAGAAAAGAAAACTTTTTTTTTGTTTAATATAAATAAATTAATCGGTTACAAAAACAGTGTGAAATTAACCAAGCTACCATCACATACACCGCCCTTAAAATGTTGCTAGTTCCAATCAGGCAAACAAATTAATAAGACTTTTAAATAAACAAAAAAAACTTAAAATTAATCGTAACTTAACTTGACGGTAACTTGTACACAAGGATATTGTTATAAAAAATAGAACGAAATTTAAGAAAAATAGTTTTTAGTACTAACTAGGGAAATATGAAAATATTATGTTTATTAAGTGCAATACAATAGTAGGTAAAGTAACTTAAAATAAAACAAAACCAAGAAAAAAAAGGAAATAAAAAAAAATTACGAAAAAAAAAGAATAATAATTATGATATCTATTAAACGTAATGTGAATACTTGTATATTTTAAAGTTTCATTTTTTTATTT